CAATGTGCTTGCCATCATCGTGACCTGATTCACTGTCTGGCAGTACACCACCCCCTTCCCTTCTCCCGTCCATCTCATGCGGTCCTGGATGAACCTGACCACGCTGGGTGCTTGAAACCATCGGTTGAGCCCATCGTACTCTGACCCTTCAATGATGGGTTGCCACACTCGGTATGCCATATTTGGACCGCATGTCCGCGCCCGGAACAATGATATGTCCGCTCGGGTGCAGTGCATGTGGGACCACAGCTTCTCCTCCTCATCTGGTGGCAATGTGGCCGTCAGCAGCACCATCTGTGTCTTGACCGCCATCAGCCTGCCTAGCTGTTGCATCTGGGGCCGGAAGTTGACCTGGTCGTTGAGCACCGTGTGGCATAACCGTGCCACCTTGATGATCCGTGACAATATTGGTGGGTAGCTCTCCGCGTCGCGCCATCCATACTCCCCCCGTCCTAGCACCGCCACGCGTCTACCAGCGCGCACTCATAATCCTCCACCTGAACCCGCTGGTCCAGCAGCTCAATTCAAAAATCCAAACATGCCATCTGGATCTTGGTTGATTTGAACTTATCTTCTTCTTGATCCGTGACAATATTGGTGGGTAGCTCTTCGCGTCGCACCATCCATACTCCCCCCGTCCCAGCACCGCCAACGCGTCTACCAGCGCGCACTCATAATCCTCCACCTGAACCCGCTGGTTCAGCAGCTCAATTCAAAAATCCAAACATGCCATCTGGATCTTGGTTGATTTGAACTTATCTTCTTCTTCTGGCTGGGTATCTCTCTGTCCCTTCTCCTCCTCCTCTTCTTCTTCCTCAGTCATCTGCTCATCCATGGGGTCTGGGCTGATGGAGTGTCGCTGGTCGGCTCCCTCTGGGATATGGCGACCAGCTGTGCTTGTTCTGCCAGTGCTTGCGCATGGTGTTCATGTTCCCTGCCACATACTGACACTGGGGATCCCGCTGGCACCTGTAGCCATCTTGAATGGGTAGTTCCGGGATTGGTTCATTCAGTATTGTGGGCAGTGTTAACTGTGTAGTATGTGGGCAGTGTTAACTGTGTAGTATCTCGAGCCACATTGTCCCACTGTTCAATGTTCTCCTTTATCTGCTGAACCACCGCATGCTTTAGCTGATGGGCCTTGCCTTTCAGATGCCGTTCAATCTCTGTTGGCCACACAGCGTGCTTGCACCGGCGGCATATGATAATGAGGTATGATTCACAGTGGATAAATAATTGATGTTCCATGTCGATGCTGGGTCTGTCTTGTGCATTGAATATATATATATTTCCTTCATTCAGTGTCTTTGTGTGAAACTTGACAGATCTGATCTGGTGTGAATGTTTGTTTTTCTGTGGTTAAAATCACTCCAGGATGAAGCCTTTCAGTTTTCTTATATGTTTTGCTATTTTTATTTACTTTGTTGATCTTGCACCGCTTTGCGCCGCTCCGTTGCCTGGGGTGAAAATATATATATTTAGTTGGGTCTGGTTGGGTTGATGGCTTACCCCATCAAACATCGCACCTCAACTCATTGACTTTGACACTAAAATTTAACCCCTTCCCGGCGGAATTATCGCTTTTGATTTGGATATGTTGTATTTCATATCCACTACGGCCTACATGCAAAGTTTGAAGTCAATTGACTCCGTGGTTGATTGGACGTTCAACGTCTGAAACCAAATGGAATGTACGTCCAATCTGCCCTGCTCTGATTGGTCGGTTTTCTAACCCTGAATGGAATGGACGTCCATTCCACCCCCACCTGTTGGATAGGACGGCATGTCCGCGCCCGGAACAATGATATGTCCGCTCGGGTGCAGTGCATGCGGGACCACAGCTTCTCCTCCTCACCGGGTGGCAGTGTGGCCGTCAGCAGCACCATCTGTGTCTTGGCCGCCATCAGCTTGCCGAGCTGTTGCATCTGGGGCCGGAAGTTGACCTGGTCGTTGAGCACCGTGTGGCATTCATCGATGACGATCCGGTCCAGTCGGTGGTTCAGCCGCTGTCGGTTCAAAAATGTGATGAAGTCCTCGCTCAATGCGGACTCGGGTGTCACCAGCACCATCGATGCTTCATCGGGCGGTCTTCGGCTCTCCCACTCCACACATGATATCCCCAGCTCCTCGCACCTCCGCTGCATGTCCCCTCGCAGCGCCACCAGTGGAACCACCACCACCGTTGTTCCCCCGGGTGCAACCCACGCGGGCAACATGAACATCATGCTCTTCCCCCCTCCGGTTGGCATGATGGCCACCACGGGACTTTCACCGTCCTGGATGGCCCGTATCGCTGCCGCCTGCACCCCTCGAAACTTCAGTGCCTTGTCACCCATCATCCGCTGCAGCTCGGCCTCCATGTCGGTCTGCTGCAGCTGAAATCGACGCTCCATACGCCCCTCCTCGGCCTCTGTCTCCCATGGTGCCCGCTTGCGTTTTCCCAGCACCGCATCCCTCGTCGTCTTCTCGGTCGTTGCCGACTCGAACCCTAAAAACCGGTGCCAGTCTGTGCTGCTCAACCGGAACATCTCACGGCGCCGGTGTGTGGTCCCGGCCTGCTCCGTGATCCCTCGTGCGTACACCATGCCGGCCACGTGTGATGTGTGGGCCGCTTGCATGTCTGTGATCCGTCCCAGCCATTCCTCGGGGTCCATGGGTTCATCTTCATCTCCATTGCTGCCGGCCACCTGCTCCTCCTCTTCCTGCTGGCTGTTGTTTTTGAACGCGCTGGATGGGCGCATGAACTGCCTGCTGATCGCGATGGCGATGTTCCGGTATGCTGCCAGGTTCAACCCCTGACCATGTAGCCCGATGCGGGTCTCCCGTTTCAACACCTCCCGGAAACGCTCGGACGTCCAGGCCCGCCCGTCGGGGTCTCCTCCCCACATGTATGCCCCCCGTTGGTTGGCGTTCTCCTCTTCTGGATTTCCCTCTTCCTCTCGGATCCGTCGTCGATACTCCTGCAGCCGCTGGGCGAATGGGAGCACCAGCCATAAATACCACACCACCAGTTCCCCGACCTCCCTTGGCAGATACCGGTGGATCACCTTGATGTCGTTGGATGCATGAAACCCCTTGTGGTACCGCGTGACGAACACCACCATCCCATCCTCTATGAATATGTTGCGGTGGCCCCCGTTCTCGGTGTTGATGTGTCGGACGCTGAGCAGCTCGGGCGCCCGTGCCGGTTGGCCCGCCGTGACATGCACCGCCACGCTCAGCTTCTCCCGGAATCTCACCACCCAGCGCAGGTATGCGTTGATCGCCTTGATTGCCAAACGGGGCCGGTCGCTGTGCTCTCGCTGGATGAACCGCCGCTGCATCCCGGGCTGTATGCGCATCTGCTGCATCAACCACTGTGCCCCATCCACCGGCCACCGCGTGCGGCTGTCCTTTAAAAAATTCCACCCCGTCCCTCCCTGGGTGGGGTCATCCCGCATCGTGGACCATGGGATGGCTGGTGGCTGCTGTCCATTCAGCTCATTCTCAAACAACAACTCCTCCCGCAGGATCCGCCTCGTCGCTCCCACCAGCCCGTGTGTGAAGCCCCGGAAGTCGCCCATGGTGAAGTGCATGTCCTTGTACAGCAGCTCATCCCCTCCCATCCAGCCGACGTGGCCGGGTGTGGTGTTGCTGTAGTGCACCTTCAATCCATACGTGCGCAGGTCCAGCATCCACTGCATGGGACTGTGTGTGCCGCGGACCATGAATGCCTCCATGAACAGCTCAAGCCATTCCTGAAACGATCGCTGCTTTCTGTTGTTTGAAGTTGACCCGCCGATGGATATCATGGCCGGGGGATCATCGCTGCGTGGGGACGATGTGGGCGGTGATGATGGGGGGTTGGAACTGGCACTGGTCCTGCCGCTGTCACTTTCATACCCTTCATTCTGGTTGCCTGTGAACGTGTAATCCGCCTCCTCCATGGGGCTCACCACGGCCCACTCTCCCACCATCTGGCTTGCTTGGTTCCTGGCCAGCATGTCGGATGCATTGGCGTCCAGTCGCAGCGCCTTGTGCACCACCATGAACCGTGCCACCTTGATGATCCGTGACAACATTGGTGGGTAGCTCTCCGCGTCGCACCATCCATACTCCCCCCGTCCCAGCACCGCCAACGCGTCTACCAGCGCGCACTCATAATCCTCCACCTGAACCCGCTGGTTCAGCAGCTCAATGCAAAAATCCAAACATGCCATCTGCATCTTGGTTAATTTGAACTTATCTTCTTCTTCTGACTGGGTATCTCTCTGTCTCTTCTCCTCCTCCTCCTCCTCCTCCTCCTCCTCCTCCTCCTCTTCTTCTTCCTCAGTCATCTGCTCATCCATGGGATCTGGGCTGATGGGGTGTCGCTGGTCGGCTCCCTCTGTGGTGGCTACCTGCCATAATACCCTCCATGTCTTGCGCTGCCGTGGTGTGAACCGGTACTGTGGGCTCGTCCATTCATGCTCGACCTGCGTTCGGGCGAAAAACATCAACATCTGCTGCCATGGCCTCACGTGCTCGGCGATGCTCTCCTCGTCCATGTACGCCTGCAACGGGGTGTGCCGGGTCTGGTGTCGCTCTGTGCGGATGGCCTCGATGCGGACGAAGTGGCCCAGCCGTGTGATGACTCGCTGGCTGGTACGGGCAACCTGACCCATGGCCTCCCAGATAGCCCTCGCGGCCAGTTCATCTGGGCACGTGGTGTCATCCTCGGGCCGCTGGACGCAGTTGACCAGATCATTGGGTGCGATGTTGGTCAAGTACACCGGCCATCTGGTCCGCCGCAGCCATGGGTTGGCTTCATCGTGCTCCCCGGCCTGGATGACATTGCTGGTCTGCCGTTGCTGTTCCTGGTAAAACCGCTCCAGCTCATCAATGGCCTGGCTGGCTCTGTTCTGGTCTTGCGTGCCGGTATGCTCAGTAGTCTCCTTAGTCTGGATCTGTATGTAGTGGGAGCCCTTGCGCGATGCAAATATCTGCTGGAACTGCACCTTCTGGCATGATCTGTCCACCTCATCCTGTGCTGCCGTACGCTTTTGTGGCGCTGTACGGCCACGGCTGGGATATGGCGACCAGCTGTGCTTGTTCTGCCAGTGCTTGCGCATGGTGTTCATGTTCCCTGCCACATACTGGCACTGGGGATCCCGCTGGCACCTGTAGCCATCATGAATGGGTAGTTCCGGGATTGGTTCATTCAGTATTGTGGGCAGTGTTAACTGTGTAGTATCTCGAGCCACATTGTCCCACTGTTCAATGTTCTCCTTTATCTGCTGAACCACCGCATGCTTTAGCTGATGGGCCTTGCCTTTCAGATGCCGTTCAATCTCTGTTGGCCACACAGCGTGCTTGCACCGGCGGCATATGATAATGAGGTATGATTCACAGTGGATAAATAATTGATGTTCCATGTCGATGCTGGGTCTGTCTTGTGCATTGAATATATATATATTTCCTTCATTCAGTGTCTTTGTGTGAAACTTGACAGATCTGATCTGGTGTGAATGTTTGTTTTTCTGTGGTTAAAATCACTCCAGGATGAAGCCTTTCAGTTTTCTTATATGTTTTGCTATTTTTATTTACTTTGTTGATCTTGCACCGCTTTGCACCGCTCCGTTGCCTGGGTGAAAATATATATATTTAGTTGGGTCTGGTTGGGTTGATGGCTTACCCCATCAAACATCGCACCTCAACTCATTGACTTTGACACCACAATGTAACCCCTTCCCGGCGGAATTATCGCTTTTGATTTGGATATGTTGTATTTCATATCCACTACGGCCTACATGCAAAGTTTGAAGTCAATTGACTCCGTAGTTGATTAGACGTTCAACGTCTGAAACCAAATGGAATGTACGTCCAATCTGCCCTGCTCTGATTGGTCGGTTTTCTAACCCTGAATGGAATGGACGTCCATTCCACCCCCACCTGTTGGATAGGCAAGTAGGCATGCAATAACCCTAGAGAATTGCATCCTTGATTGACAACGTAATTTCTATTCCACTGACCTGCAACTTAAATAGCATTGAATATGTTTGGTAGAGAGCCAGCATGCGTGATTTCATCCACATCTAACCACTCCTTGCGCTGACCGGGACTTTGGGACGATAATACTGTAACGTGTTAGCGCCGCTGTAGAAAATATACGCTAACCTAATACGGTATTATCGTCCCATAGAACCCTCCATTATTTAAACCACAATATCTCCACCACTACACGGGCTATGGGAATATGGAATATATCAGTTTAATGCCCAGAGGCTGCTCTATCATCTCATGCTAAAATATGTAGATGTTTCTATATCTGTGGTGTTGGTCTTAGCCTGTCAATGTGGTACTAGATCATCTCATGCTTAGTGACCCGGGTGTAGTAAATCCGGAAATATTTCCAATCCGCGTTGAGAGCGCTGACCTTTTTGTAACGCTTCAGTCGACGCCCAGTATCGGGGTTGTACCCGAGCTTGCAGCACCAATTCAAAAAGAGATGCATAATATTCGGGGTGGCCTGCTTCAGCGCCTCTTCGGGATCTTCCCACTTCAGCTTAGCTGACGCCTTGATTGCTTTGGCCTGGGACAACCTAGCAGCAGAGCAGTTAGCAGAGGATCTACCCACTGTCACCACTGCGGCTCACAGCTTGGAGGAAGGGGGAAGCAACAACGAACCAGATCCAGCGCTTCTTCTAGTCGATAGTTAGTTTAGTTTCTTGGGTGCCGTCCGCCTTGCCGTAATCTTCATCGTCCGTGTCATCGGCCTGGAGTTCATAGTGTGCCCGATGCTGCAATTCCGCTGCCGACACGCTTGTATTCCTGTTGGGTCCCAATGTAGGAGACTCCACGGATTTCGCTTGTAGATACTGTGTTCTTCTTTCCTTAGTCGGTGTTTCTCTGTCTTTATTCCCCTTGGCAGACGCCTTTCGAGGCCCGGGTAAGGGGCGATCTGGTTCAGTCAAATCGGTGTCAGAGTTTGGATCGTATACTGGATCGTTGTTGGTGTTGGGGCCTGTGCTGGAGGTCGTTTCGCTCGTAGCAGATGGGTAGCTACTTACCAGAGGATAACTATCAACTAGATTATTCTTCTCAATAACTGATAAAGAGTAGTGTACATTTACATCTATATAAGAATAAAATAATTAAAATGTCGTATAAAGATGATAGAAAAGGAGCTACACCCTATCATTTGGTTTCCATTTCTAACCAACGTTCAACTTGAACCCAATATTATTGATTACTTCGTAACATAAATGCATAGTTATATCAATGGCCTGCTGCTGCTGCTCCCGTTTTTCTTTCCTGTCCCCTTTCTGCCCAGTTCATCAATTGTGCTTTGGGCTTTGCCATCCGCCGCAGGCACTCCAAACCCGTGGCCAGCGCAGAAGCAGTGCCACCGGAGGACTGCCCAAAATATTCATCCAGGTCTTCTTCGTCGGAAGACGAAATCGACGAGAACGAGCTCGAGCGTTGGAGATAGGTCATTTGCCGCCCGCTTTTACTTTTACGCTCTCGCTGTTCCTCCTTGAGCTTTTCCAACACCTTCGAGTCTCCCTGGCAGTCATACGTGGTCACCTGTAAACCAGGGAGGTTCATGGACAGGAACTCTCTCAATTCGGGGAGGAGTTTGGGATTGGGGCGATATGTGCCACTTTCATTGTCAATCACAAGCTCGTAGGCAGCGGGGTCGGTCGATGTGTGCAGGGGACCATGGTTATGGCCTTGTGATATCTCGCTGTGCATGCAATCACCATCCTGCGACTCCGGACGAGGAGATATGCTGCGCCGTTTCCGAGAATGATGCGGCCGCCGTCGAACAAAGAATTCCCCAGAATAGGCGATGTAGATCGAAACGTCGCTGTGCATGGTGTGTTTGCTGAGCATGTTGATGCCGAATTCCCTGCCCGTTTCAGTAAAGCGCCACTGGCCATCCAGCGTAATCACGTAGGTGAACACTCTCCCGCCTATGTCGTAGTGGACGAATTCGAGAAACTGCTGCGTGAACTGGAGTGATGGAGCGGGAAATACGCCGTAGACGGTGGACCTATCGAAATTGTAGATCCGGACGTGCTGTTGATGAAGCGCGTGGTTCAGAATGCGGCCACGAAGGCTTTGCGCGGTGAACATGCCTTTGACGAAGGGTCTGAATTCAATGTATCGATGGTACAGGGACGCGGGTACCGGGCCTTTCAACTGCATCTGGATAGCCTGGAAACTGTGGGACGACAGTAACTATGGTATAAGCCGCTTGCGAAAACGAAGGATACCAGTATGGAAGCGGGCCGGATGAGGGAAACACGTACTTATACCTGCTGACCGGCTTCTCGCCATTCTCAGAGGGGCCATAATCCATTGTACCAGCAAGCCTCCCAATCAAGGGCGAAAAATGCTTGCTCCAATAGTTGGGCCCAACAGTATACATTCTGCCACCTTCGTCGCCCGGAGTCCTGCCTAGGCATTGGACGCTGAGGTACAGAGTTGCATGCAAGTGTTTGTTCCTCGAGCAGACCACGCTCAAAGACCGTACGAAGTAGGCCCGTTTGTTGGCCGTCCGCTTCTGCACCTTGTAGGGCTGTTCAATGATCCCGGGCCAAGATTCGCTGAGGGACTGGACGGATATCTTGACATTCCCGAGCTTGTCATCGCTATTGACGGCGTCCTCATCGTATATGCGACATTTCAGCTCAAAACCGGAGCTAGGGACATTGGCAACAATCCAGTGGGAATCCCAAACAGGCTCGACGTTCTTTGGAATCGTGCGCGTTCGGAATACGAGATCGGGGTCCTGCTTGTTGCGGCGAGGAAGGTCGGAAGTAAGATGGGCGAGGACGAAAGGGTCGGCTGATAAGGTCCGGATATCAGCAATCGGGAGGTTGGACGCGCGGTGAAAGGTGAATTTGAGGGTGAAGCCCGGAGGCGCGGGGGGGACGGGAGTGCTATCAAAACCACCGGCAGGCTGCTGCTCTTGCGGAGAGGTTGAGTTCGCGCTCGGATTCAAATTCGAGTCAGGGCTGGGGTTGGACGCGGAGTCGGCGGTTGCAGGCCGGTGAGGCGCATCCTGTGGATCTCTGGTGGGGCCGGCCATTGGGGGGCTTGACGGGGGAAGAGTATACGGTTAGCTCTGGTGTGTGAATAGCATATACCTTGGGGAAGAGGGGGAAGCGCAAGAAGGAGGAAGGAGGATGGAAGAGGATGGATGATATCCTCCAGCGTCAAGTTGCCAGAGATTTGAGTCTGGATAGCAGTACTCAGCCATCAATCACCCGCAACCCAGAGCATCTCCCCAGCTGGCTGCGGCTGAGTTCCACGACGGCGCCGTTCTCTAAGATAAGTAAAAAAAAGCTTGAACTCGTCATCGGAAAAGGAGAAGAAAGCAGTCAGCATCAGCATCCCCGGCTAGCTAATGCAGCATCTACGCAGTACTCTGTAGCTTATCGTTGAATTGAAGGTGAACTGTACTACGTGAGGTCAGCGGGAGGGGACTATTTTCGCTCAAATACACTGCGCCGCTGGAAGGAGGGAGAAAAGAAAAAACAAAATGTTATTCATTTATTCTATTTTCAAGAAATCACCAAACGGGAAAACATAGTCGCCAGGCGCCTCAACCACTCGCCATGTTTGTCTATAATTACTGCGTATGTCTAGCTTATTAGCCCCAAAACTCCTCCGCGTCATAGTGCGTTCGGGAAATATCCCTGTGGCGCGCCAGCGAAATTCTCTTTTTTTCCAATTTGCTGTATTGAGCGGGGGAATCCCAGAATTGTCTCTTGATTTCAATTCCTAATAGCAAAGTCGCAACAGAGCCAAAGTGGTGGTACTTCCTTTGGTAGCTGACCCGTGAGGATTGAAAATGGTCGTCCCAAAAAGGCCGCTCAAAATTCAGCTGACCCATGACGAAGGGCCATTGATTATTCCGTTGGAAGTCGGGCTTTTAAATAATGGGTTGCCGTTTGTGATGAACCATGTTTCAACCAATCTAAAACCAGCCGCTTCACCAGGATTTGTCGGATTACGAGTCGTATCGGACGAAAGCATGTCGCATGTCGTCCGCGATTCAGTACTAGTAGAGAATAGTGAACAACCCCCTTTGAGTAAGTAAGGTGACATTACCTATCTCATTGCACTAAAGTCCAATTGCCGTGCCACGTCCTTAACTCGAGTCTCATCAATCTCCCCACCCCGCCGAACCAGGTCATCGCCCATCTTCTTCGCACCGCCGGCTTTTCGCGGCAAGTCCTCATTTCGCGTTGGTCGCGGCTCGGCCACCCACCATGCATGCTGCAGCACTTGCCGTGCGGTGCTGCGTTTTCGCGGATCCAATTTCAACATCGATGCGAGCAGGTCAGCCCCTAAAGGTCCGGCTGTAGGGAACTGTCGGATGAAAAAATCACGACCCTGTAAGGGGGTGATCTGGTTTTCTTGAATGGGTACGAAGTTTGGAAGTCTAGTCACGCCCGGCCAGTTTTCCTCGGTTGGGGTTCCGAAGGCGTCAATTATTTTGGATATCTGGTCCATGTCGGTGTGTCCTGCTGCAAAAGGGACGCGAAGGAGGAGTTCGGCAAAGACCATGCCCATCGACCAGATGTCCACTGCGCCGGAGTATTGTCTCGCGCCGTACAGCAGCTCAAGGGGCCGGTACCAGCGAGTGATGACTTGATGAGTCATGTTCAAATACGGGTCCGCAAATGACCGTGCCAGACCGAAATCGGCCAGCTTCACTTCACCATCGGAGGAGATGAGGAGATTGTTGGGCTTGATGTCACGATGCAGAACAAAGTTTTCGTGACAGAACCAGACACCCCGAGCCAGCATTCCCATCCACGCTTTAACATCTGCCGCCCCATACTGGATATTCCTATCTTTGATAAGCATTTCCAGATCTCCTAACGGCAGGAATTCAAGGACAAGATTGAGGTTCTGGTCCTTAGAAGAGAAGACGTCATGAAGCGCAATGATATTGGGATGTGATAATTCCTGGAGATATTTCACCTCCCGAATGGCGTCCACGGACAACCCATCTTTGTATTCCGGATTGACTTTTATTTTTTTGATGGCAACGAGTGAAGCGGGGTCATGTCGCAGGTGCCCGAGATACACGATGGCATATGTACCTTCTCCAAGCTTTTTATCTGTGCCAGTGTCAGAGACAAGTAAGCGTGGGCTCTACGTTCTGGGAACTAAAAGGGTAGAATGAAAGAACCCAGTAGGAGATATATATACAAGGGAGACAAAACCGACCCTTAATATATTTACGGCTTATAGCTGCATTTAATTGTTCGGCAGGTTCTGGTATCACAGCCAGAGAACCCCCAAGTTCAGAGGCAGGCGTTGGTTGCGAGGCGGGACGCTGTTCCACCCGGCCAGAGTTGCGCATGGCAAGTATTTTGGCATGGGTAGCTATCCCACCCGTAGCTGAATCGGTTCCGGAGGGCGAACGTGTAACCACAGGCGACACTGTCATTGCGGGTGGGTGAAGTTGGGCAGCGTGTTCCGGCGCGATAAGCAGTTGGGTAAATCAAATAGAGTCAGCAAAGCGAGGCAACGCAGCCAGGATATGGGCCAGGCACCAGTGATCGTGGCGACATGCCGTGTCTATGCCTCGCTCCACACGGCCATGTCTGATAAGGGCTATACAGCGCATGCAGCGTACGCAGTGCAGTATACAGAGAGTCGAAGCAAAAAGTTGTTGAAGACGGGAAGTCGTGGAGGCGGATGACATAATTAATAAATGCGCAGTTTGGCCACGGACAATTGTTGTTCCTGCTCCGACCAAATTGCCCAAGCTGCAACTGAAAAATACTCTCTGTAACGATCGTTGCTGGAGACCCGATGCGACATGCTGCACATCGCGCATCGCTGTTCTGCGCTGACAAAACGCCCACACGGCACTGGATGCGCTTTGGCATATCCTCCCTCTCATAGGTGACCGAGAGCATCCCCAATTGGACTCCCCGCGGAACACCCTCCCATACCGTTTTTGGGTCCCCCGTCGACCATCGCAACCAATATATTCACCATGGCGGCCCGAACCATCCCACTCAAGCCTTGCTCTCCCCGCCCCCTAACCACCTTCCATACGTCCCGTTGGCATTTCTCTTTCTTCTCCCCCTCTCACCAATTCCTCCGCCGGCTCCATAGAAGCTCCCAGCTCCGCGTTCCCCCGCCAACCCCCTTCGTCCCGGATACTCAAACCTTCCTATCCCTAATCGGCCGCAACATGTCTCGCTTCGCCCCTAAATTCGCGTCCTGGGACGAACTATTCACCCTCTCCTCCGCAGACTTGAAGGACCGGGGCATCGAACCAGCCCGCCTTCGACGCTATCTGCTCCGCTGGCGCCAGAAGTTTCAACGCGGCGAGTATGGGGTTGGCGGCGATTTGGAACATGTTGTTGATGGCGTGGGTCAGCTGAGGGTGGTCGAGGTGCCCAGGGATACAGTTCTGAAGAGGACGGCGGGGAAAAATAGCACACCCACGGCCACTGATGGTGGCCTAGGCAAGCGTGAAATCCCCCCTTTCACAGTCACAGGCACTGCCACGCTGTCTCCTGGCATGAAATGGGTAGTAGTGAACCTGCCGCCTGGTGAGTCGCAGCCGACAGAGGTACCACAGCCGCTCAAGAAATATACGAAAGTCTCCCTGGTGCGTGGCAACGTGCTAAGGGCGCCATACCTGAAGTTGATAAAAGGGTCAAATGGAATGGCGGGAATCATAAAGGTGCAGGAGGGTATGTGGGAGGATAAGCAGGGACGGAAGATTGATGGGGGCGAGAGGAGGCAGGCGGAGGTAAGGGCGAAGAAAAGGAGCGAGGACAGGCAAAAGGCCGCCGTGTAGTTTTTTATTGCCTTGTGCTTTTCTTTTTTGGGAGCGGATATGTACATTACATTAAGTCGCTTGTTCTTTTCCTTTAATATGTTACGTTTATAGAGAGTTCTCTTAGATTTTGTATTCATGGTTTGGAATTTATCTACGGATTTCCTTTTTTTTTTTTTTTCCCTCTCGTCTTAATATACAGTGGGAAGCTCTTGGTACCAGGAGATGCAAGGGGAAGGAGAGCAAACGAACCCACGATACGAGAAAACTCAAAATGGTAGAGGAATACAGCAAATAAATAAATAAATAAATATATATATATATATATATATAATGTAAACAGTTCCACAACTCGATTATTACTATTACGTAGATGCATATAAACATACAGATGAAGAAAAGCGCAGAGTGTGAGGGCCGTTTGGGCCTTTACAGTGCGAGAATAAAAAAAATATAATATCCTCTTCTAAGGTGAGAAATTGCGGGAAAAGAAGGAGACGAGAAAATCAAAAAAATAAGATCAAAATAGTTTTAACACAAAATTCCTTGTGCGTAGTACATGGCCCAAACGCAGGCCGGGAAAATATGAACGGTATGGTTTATTTTTGGGTGGGATTTCTCCTCTCCCATGCGACAAGCGGTTTTCCTAGAGGCTTTGAAAAAAGTGACTAGCCAGATAGGTTAGCATCGCAATCTTCCAAAAGTCAAACAGCTGGAAACATCTGGCCAGGAAAAGGGGTCTCGTAATGGTCTTACCGAGTAATCTGTAGCTGGCACTCCTGTCTCACCGTCGAGTTTCTTCAGTTTTAGCTGTCTGACGATCGCAACTAGGAGAGTTCCTAGCTGTACATATGCGAATTGTTCACCGATGCACCGATGTCGCCCGGAGCCAAAGGGTAGGTAAGGGCTGTTGGCACCCTTGCTGACCAAGCCGTAGCCGTAGTCAAGCTTTTCGTCGGATTGATCTCCCTCCGGTGCCATTGCAGGATTTTCCCAGCGATGAGGGTCCCAGGTCATCGGATTGGGGAAGTGCTCGGGTAATCGTGATGTTACGCCGGGTGCTGCGAGCAGGTTGTGAGTGGTGGGGATTGTATAGCGTGTTCCGTCAACAGGCATTGGAGACTTGACGGCGCGGAGAATGGAGTGAATTGGAGCATGGATCCGGAGGGTCTCTCTGATAACATGAGAGTTGAGGTTGAGTTTCTGAAGCGTTTCGTAGGTCAGAGGTGGGAGGTCTTCCCCAAGCACCTGTTTCTGCTCCTCATACAGCTCCTCAATAATGTGTGGGCAAGATGCGAGCCGGAGAATGATCCATGAGAAGGTGGAGGAGGATGAGTGCTGGCCGGCCATCAACAAGGCGATCATCATGTGAGCAATCTCGATGTCTGGGAGCGGAGTTCCATCCTTGTAAACACAGGACATCAAATTCCAGACCATATCTTCTGAATCCTTTTTGCCGCCGGCTTCCCGTCGCTGACGGATGATGTCCGTGTAGATTTTCGTCATTTTTTGCTGGGCGGCGTCGCGCTTACGGTTATGGGGTAGTGGGGCCCAGGGAAGCATGAAGTTGATCGGGGTAAACCCCATATCCAAATCGTGATAGAGCTGGGCAAAACTAGAGTCGAACTTGCTTCTCACTTCTTTTCCTTGCAATGAGCGGGAGGCGGTATATATGGTAATTTCAGCAATGCTCTTGCACACATCGAGAACTCCCTTGTCGCCCTGAAATGCAGGTGATGTTTTTATGTATTGGTTGAATTCGTCCGTGATTAAAGTAACGTATGACCGTAATGATTCCGAGGTTAGCCCGTATTTGACAAACTATGGGATGGTAATCAACGATCAGTAAAGCATTTTCCTAAGCGGGTATTATTATTATTTCCTCAGCCAGTAGTACCTTCTTTTGCTCCATCAGCTTCGAGTTTGGACAATCGTAGACGACATGACTGCCAAAAACGGGCGTGGTGAGTGGCGAGTAGACCTCCTCGGCGCAAACATCCTTGAGCTTGCCGTTCAGGATGAAATCGTTGCCTTTTGTTCCAAGAAACACGGTAGTCTTTTTCCCAAGAAGGACGAATGTAAAGATGTCGCCATACTATATATGACGGAAACAATGGAAACCGAAGCAACGCGTTAGAGAGAGAGAGAGAGAGAGAGAATTCAACATCCCCAAACCATGTTGTGGTTGTGTGGGTAACGTCGATCGGGAGGGGAACGAACCTTTTCCCTGCAGTTCAGGAAGAACTTGTACGGGTCAATTCCATAGGAGATGGTGCTTCCGATGATTGGGAACCAGTGGAAGACAACGGGGGGCTCATTGGGGTTTTTCCAGAGAAGTTGGTGTAGGACGTTTATGATCACGGAGAGGACGATCAAAGTAGCAGAACCGGTGAGCAGAAACGCCCAGGGAGACAGGGTAGAGCAGTGGGCACAGACACGAGCGACAACATCGGCAAGGAGCCCCATGGCGATATCAGCGGCGCAGAGGAATCGACTGCTGAGAATTGTGGGGGGTTCGACAAGCAGGAGAATCGTTCAGGGGAGATGAAGCTCAAACACTATAAATTTAATTGCGTTTTCTAGATTTTCGGAAGTTGAGTCAGCATTTCTGGCGTATCGTGGTACAGTACGGAGCTGTATTTTGCCATCTGGTTCCAAGACGCTGTAATACCGAATGGCAGAATGCAACTTTACCCCTGCCCAGCCTTCCAATGTTACTAGTTCCGTATTGTGCGTATTGTTGTGACATAGTAGAAATACGATCACGCCACCCGGAAAAGTGTTAGTGGGTACTACGGCTACCTACTGCGGCGAATCTATCTACCACTGCCAATCTACCTACGATTTCTATGTGAACATTGTGTTATCAAATTGAAAGATGTCAATTTCTGATGTGTATTGAGCCTCAATGTCTGAAAGTGTTATGAGGTTTATATCTTCACAGAAAAGTTTTCATCAAGTGAATGTTTCCACAATCTTTATAAAACATTTTTACATTGGTTAAAATTCATTGATATTGATCACTGCTCTGTCAACTGCTGCCTCATCAACTGCTGAAGATGTTGATTTTTTCAATAAAAGAATGCATCATCTTTTTCAACAGAAGAATCAAGGATTGAGGTTACGTTTAATGAATAAAGCACTGTAAATACTATCTTTACAATTACTGACTCAACAAATGAACTTCGTACAAGAGATAGATGAAAGAATAGAACATCTCTCTACATATAAAATATCAAAAACAATTGTAATATATCAGAGACAAACCACTACTGTCTCATGCAGTAGAGGATGTGATCTATTGTATCATGTATATGGGAAGAGTCCAGTAGTTGGCAATGTAGTACAATTTAACAAGAGAATGGCGCCGCGGCGAAAGAGTTGCTTGTTTACATGTAAAATCTAGTATAAATTCTTAGTGACAGTTGTGGCATTTTTAGTGCTTGAATGAAACTTTTGACACCAACCTCCGTAATTACTAATCTGTAAATAAATATCTGGATGCGAGGAATCCGACATTAAGCAGCAACCAGCAGTAGCAGAGATAACCAACCGTATATATAGAGAGAGCCTCGTATATTATCGATATACATAACTGAAGTAAAATGATATCCTATCCTATCTCAACCAAACTAAGAGAATCAAACAGGACAGAACCCGGAATGTATCCACAGCAACAGGTGCTGTACGGAGCAGACATATCATACTAGACAAAGAAAGGGAAAGGAAAAGGGAAAGGAAAAGGGAGAAGAAATAAAAGGCATATCCCCTTCACCTCCGTCGTCCCCGGGTGTACCTCTCGTCCTGATCATCGCTGTATAATGTCGGATCTCCACGCCCACCCAAATTCATGAAGTGGGCTGGATCCCTATTTGAGGCGGGTGTGGGTTCCTGCCGCACACGCCCACCACCACCACCACCACCCCTCGGCGCATGGTGCATTCGTCTGCTCGCTTCGTTCCTGTCGAATACTCTCACCGGTTTATACCCATGTCCTCCGGTTGCTAGATCTCCAACAATCTGGCTTGATGGTAGAATATTAATGCTACTTATCAAAGTGCGTTCGCGCGCCATTTTACGCTTCGAGAAATCAAGCTGGCCCATTGCACCCGTCAGGCCGTCTGTGCTGTCGATGATGCTCGGGTACTTGCCGCGCCCCGTCAACCACGGATGCTCCAGGCACTCGTCGATGGTGATGCGCTTGTTGAAGTCAACAGTGAGCATTCGGTCGATGAGATCGAGTGCTGGGTCCTCGACTGAATCCCAGTAGGGAGAGGGATAGTCGAAGCGGCCCAGCTTGATTTGCTGAGCCAGCGTGTAGGGGTTTTCGTGCGTGTAGAGTTCGTCGGAGAACGGCGGGAAGCCGCAGAGGCAGATGTATAACACCACGCCAAGAGACCAGATGTCCACTGCCCGGCTGTATTTCCGATGGCGCGGATTTTCTTCGAGAATTTCAGGAGCAACATCTGCTTTAGGGTTAGTAGTAGTTTGCAAGGTGGGGGGGGGAGAATGGGTCAAGCCGGGTGTGGAAATAATAATTTCAGAACTGACAGCTGGGTGTGCCACATCTGTTCGGGATTATCGTTAGCAATTTCAGGTTTGTGGTTTGTTCATTATTATCGGCTGTCTCGCTGGGACAACTGGAATATATAATAAACCTACAAAGTCGTCGTGAAAGAATCCTCCCCTATTATTTTAGCAAGGCCAAAATCAGCCAACTTCACGGTAAGCTTATCATCTACCAACAGGATATTCTCCGGCTTAATGTCCCGGTGGACAATGTTCCGCTCATGCTAGACCAAAGGTGAAAAAGCCAAGAAAAAACAGTCAGCACGAAACAGGTTATGACGAGGGTAGGAAGCTATCAACCGTACAAGATATTTGAGACCCTTGAACAATTGAGTGAAAACCTTTCGGGCTTCATTTTCCGTAAGTTTTTGATTCGAAACAATCCAATTGAATAGCTCGCCTTCGGGGGCAAGTTCGAGGACTAAGTAGACACCATCGCTCTCGTCGAAGGTGTCCTTCAGACAGAGTACGTTCGGGTGATTCACGCTCATGAGTACCGCAATTTCCTGCTTTAAACCATCATTGTCGGCTCGCTGTGAGTCTCCCGGGCGTCTCTCAAAACGCTTCACTGCATATTTGTCACCGGTCGACCTCTCTACACACAGGTATACAGAGGCGAAATGGCCCTTCCCTAGCTGTTGCAGGATGCGATATTGCTTTCGGAATTTGTTAGTGTCTCTTATTTTCGGATAGCGAAAGACAAAACGCGCTTCATCCAGCACGGTTACTTCATCTCCATCCTCTAGCTCGCGGCGTTTATTGCGCCCCACGATTGCCTCGTTGATAAATGTCCCGTTGCTGGACAGGTCTTCCAGCACGGCGACGGAATCACCTCGTTTGTTTTCGTTGTATATCAAACAATGCCGATTGGATATGGTGGGTATATCAAGGACGAAATCTACAACAAGAGGAGGATCAATCAGCATAGCGTTACCTAATATCAAGATCGCGATGACAAGTTGGAGGCGGTAGCGACTACCACATTCCCATCGGCAAGCACATACCGCATTCCGAATGGCGCCCGATGAGATAGCCACCGGTATGATCTTGGGAAGCAGGGGTTTCTAATTGGGTTTTGCCTCGTTTTGATCTTGAGGGTCCATTTCTGCGATTTGCTTGTCGCCCGGCAGGCAAAGAGCAAGGGTCTCTCTTTTTCAAAACCAATGGGTCTCCGAACTTGTCATCGAGAGGAATAAGGTAGCCCCAGATCCCCTCGGCGGCCTCGTCATCCACTTCATCTGCAAGGGCTCTTGGGGGGTAAACAAATTGGGAGAGGGCTTGAGTATCACCGGGAGGGGATGAGAAGGGCAGTTCAGCAACCGGGGTGTGATGACGGAATTGGCTGCGACGGCCTTCGAACGGGGCCACAGTCGTTTCGTTTTGCAGTTCGGTAGCCGTGGACTCTTCGTGGGTGAGCGGGGAGGGCAGATACACGTTGTTGAAGTTGGTGGATTGGAATTGGGATTGAGACGATATCCGCTCTGAGCGTCGTGGTTTTTTCGCCTCTTGAAGTGCTTGGTTTCCCGCACTGGGCTAGATATAATAAAAGAGCCAGGATATAACAACGCAAAGATTAGTCGAAGATATAGTCAGAGCAAGGAAAAAGAAAAAAGGAAGAACAATGAAGAATAGGAATAGGAATAGGCTTTATGATTTGAGTCCACAAGGGTATATATATCTTACCCGGCCTCGTTTCAGATGACTTTTTTCCTTCTTTGGGGCCATATTTAGTCGCCTGGGGACGGTTAAAATGCGGATTAAATGTCGTAGGCAGCGCGACGCCGAGGAAAGCAAAAAGAAAAGTAGAAATAGACGACAATGGAGATTATTATGTTCTTTTTCTTTTTCTTTTTCGTTTTCTTTTTCTTTTCTCCTTTTCCCACTTATCTGGTTCACTCAAGAATCCACCGAGTTAACTGAAGGCTGCGCGGAGGAAGTCAGACAGAGGCTGGATCGAGGTCGTTCGCTCGCGGGAAGAGAAAGGATCGTGATAAAATACCTCTAATCCTCCAGACAAAAGTCTTCCCCAGCGCCCAGGATGCAGGTCAGCCTTGCGTGGGCCCAGCAGACAGTCCAATCAGCGAGACTGGGACGAGCAGAAGAGGTTGTTGGAGGCTGGAGGCTTGGAGGTTGGAGGCTGCGAACTGATCCACTAAAAATAAATAAACAAATGTTGGTCGTTTCGAACTGTTCCAGCGGGCTCTTTTGAGTTTCTAGCGTGCGTATTTTTCGTTTCATTCTTTACTTACCTAACAGCTTAGAAGTGAGTTCACTAGTTAGTTAACTGGGTTATTTAATAAATGGCCAAATAATCAAATGTGCTCCAGGCGGACTACATCATGGCGAAGTACTCTGTACTTCGAAACCCTAGTGTTCTGTCGTGGATCCCTGTACCTTGTAATGTAGAGACTGAAGTACTGAGTACCGCCAGGATATGTATTTACTGTATGTACTGTATCTATCTATCTTACATGTCTGATATCAACCCCCAAAGAACCTCTGTCTGTCCTCTCTCTCACTCGGGTGCACAACCACACATCCACCGTCCAATGTTCTCTCCCCTCCGGTGCTAGTCTCCTGCGGGCTCTTCAGCAGGTCTCCTTTTAAGCATGTATGTCTATCCTTTCCAACTTGGCTGGTTCCCACCTCCCCCAGAATTGCCCGTTGACTTTGGGCCACTCCTAGGTCGCCCCCGTCTCTACCCTCCTATCTTAGGCGCGCGGCCTTCGACAAGCTTGCGGAGTTGGCCACTAGCTTCCCGGGGAATGACGGTGACATCGTATCAGATGTCGACCGGCTGGGGGACGCCTGTAATCGTCCAAAGTTGCTCTCTAGTGGATATCTCGATGGTGTTTCCAGGAGCCGCCCCTGGCCCTCTTCGCCGTTGGTATGCCCGCTTTATCCCGCTTTCCGTTCGGTTATGTATATTATGGATGATTCTTTTCTGTCTATATGTGGAAGACTCTATCTAACCTGATCATATGATAAGACCATTCGGGAAGTGGATGCGCTTTTGGCGCTTTGTCGAGCAGCCTCCAAGACGTCGCCCCCAAAACCCGCCGCGAAATTGCTCTCCCAGCTGGCTGCATACCTCCCCGATTCACACCTCCTGCTACTGCACGCATCTCCGTTCCTCTACAGCATTAAACCGTCTCCGTGGGAAGCCTTGACATACCATCTGACCATCTCCCTCTTATCGCTTGGCTCTCGATTTCCCCGCCACCGCGACGATGTCCTCCAGAGCGTGATGTCCTATCTTGCAAATTGCATCCATGCCACCAAATCCCTCCCCGCTTTGCAGAACCGCGCGAATGGCGAAAGAGAACTGGGAGATTTCCAGGCTGCTGTGAATGTGGCATCCATTACCGTGTCCCTTATGGGGTTCCTGGAAGCTGCCTCTGTCCATGCTAGCTTTTGGCAACCAAAGGAAAGACTCAAGATCGTCAATCAGCTGCGGTTGATTCTTTCTGAGCAGTTTTTGATAACGGTTGAGACCGTGTCGTCAATGCTCCGTAGCTCTGAATCGTCCGATCGCATCCTCCTTGATTGGCGGCGATATGCTCGACGCTATGCGTCGGGAGGCCGCCCACTTGGCGCAATGCTTCTGCAACAAGGCTTTATGCGATTTATTAAGGCTTCTACCTCGCCTGCTGGTGCTGATGGCCGGAGTATTTCTGAAAGCGCCCTCCTGGATCAATACCTCAGCAGTCTCGAGATAACGAGACAGCATCGAGACGACCAATCCCTACTCGTCGGTCCATTGGCAGAAATAATCGCTGAGCAGATCCAGCAACTTGAGGATGGATCTGATTATCTACAGCTTGGCTCCCCATGGCAGCAACGGCTAGCCTTCTCCGTGAAATCGTTTGCCCTGGTCAGCTTCCTCAATTGCACCATTCTTGATGAAGACTCGGCCGATCCTGAGCTTCTTTATTCATGGTTAGAAGAGACGCTGCTCAATTTCGACCAGATGGGCGATGGGGAGCTCGCAGGGGTAGTCCTCAAATCCCTGGCAGTCTTAACACGGCTATGTCCTAACATGGCTTCAAATACTACCCGCTGTTTTCTCAAATTCATCGTGCATAACGGACAGAGCGGCGCCACTGTAGCGACAGCTGCGCACTGCCTGGCTACGACCCTTCGCCTCCTCTCACAGGACACCATCATTGGTACTTTGTACACCTTGGGGAACTTTCTGAGCTCGGGCCCAACGGCAGACAAATCGCACCAACTTACTGCTGACGGCATAGCTCTTCATTCTCATTCTCGAAGCTTGGCGCCGCCGTACCAAAACACTTCAAACGGCAGCGTCATATCTCTCACCTGTGAGGAGGATGCTGAAACAACAATCACCTACCGAAACGTGGTGCATGCAATAATCACAATCTCCACAAGCTGCAAGGATAGTAAAATCGTAGCATTGGCCCAGTCAATGTTGTTGCAAAAGATCGGGAAAATAAGCGTCGTTGTCAATGCCTGTATCATAGAGGAAACTGCTGCGCTGGCCCTCTATAGTGACGAGGCAGAGTTTCGAGTGCTTCTTAAATTTTATTCTCGTATCTACAGTGAAGCCCTTTCCCAAGTCAATACCCTCATGCTTGATGCGGTATGTCATCCATTCCCCCCACGTCCTCTGATGCTACGGTGTGTTTCAAACCGCCTAACTTCGTAGTATAGGTCCAAAAGGCGAGAAATCATCTAGCAGAGAATGCAAATCCACACTCGGTACATTACCGGGTGTACCTGATTCACCTCCTTGAAAGTATTGTGAATAAAGGCGACGCGACTGATACAGGGAAAGACCACCAGAAAGATGTGGAGCTATCTGCAGAAGAGATCATCCCTTTGGTTAAACCACTTGCTATTTTATTCTCTAGGGGACAATCCAATTGGGATTCTCTCGTTGGTGCCAGCGAACTTGATATACCTTCACTTCTTCGGGATCTATGGTTCAATATTGTAGTCCATGGCATATCGCTACGTTCGGAAATTTTTCGACAATATTATCAGGAACTCCGTATTCTTGCGGTTCAGTCAGCCCCATTAGTTGCGGAGAACCGCACTGAGTTTCTAGAAAGTGATATTGAATTGAACACTGTGCTGAGGCGTGGAGCAACCCAGAACCACGCTACAGAGCAGCGGAAGAACCTCGCCGCTGAGCTTCCACACCTTGAACAGGATATCAGACGGTTGGGCTATCCCAAGACAGTCTTTTTGAACGCCACTCTGCTGATCGAGAGCCTTCGGGCAGCATCAGGCGACTGCACAAAAGTCCTAACCTATTTCCTCGACCCGGCCCTCAACAGTACCGATGTCGGTAGTTGTATGAATGCTATCGCAGATAAAGTTGTGTCAATCTACCTTGAAAAGTCTCTCTCTGGGTCTTCCACAAAATTTTCAGCTTCTTATATTTCTGCTCAGCTAGCAGACACGTTCATGTCCTGCTGTCATCGAATCGAAAAGGTCCAACAGGTCGCGACATCCACCGCGAGCAAAATGATTAACCAATGCCCTTCTTCGCTTTGCCAAAAGAGATCTCTTTTTGTTCTTTTGGACTTATTGACTATCATGTGGTCATCCTGCTTGGACGAGGAACTCGACGAATTCGAGTGGAAGTCTACTTTCACTTCCGCGAGGGGCGTTGTGCAGGTCGAGTTATCGGATAACTATGATTTTCGAAGGCACACGTTCACTCGGTTTTATAGATTGGCACGAACATGGGTATCGACCGTTATGAATATTGCTCCATTGGATGTCAAGGGCCTGCTTCAAACTTACCTTTCTGATTACGAGGACGACGGTGCATATGGTCACATCTCTATGGGCCGTTCATTTGCGTTGGAAATGGGTTCCGCCATTCCATCCAGCGACCAAAGACTAGGCAAGTTAAAAGCAATGATTCCGTGTTATCTCATTATCTAACGATACTTTCCTTAGGCTCCATCGAGTGCAACAACAACTCGATCGTAAACGTAGCGTCCGATTTTATTTCGCAGTATACAACCCGCCAGGAGTATCGATATTCTGAGGCGCCTCGTCTACACCGTCAGGGATGGCTTTTTCCCTTTGACCAAGCCGACTCGACTTCATCAGCCCATCTGAATACCATTCAAAGTACGGAGGCAATGCTCGTCGAGTTGGAATCTCGAATTTCCGAGGGCCAACCTATCGCATTAGACACATGTCGTAATCTCCTTCGCAAGGCTACTGCGTTGATCTGTAGCTCTAGAGAAGCGGAAACATCGATCATCTCACACCTTGTTAACATACCATTCCAGCTTTTTACAAGGGAATCGATCAAAATGGGAATTTCACTGTGGCTGGGCGCAATCCATGAGAATCCACATACAGAGCCGAGAATCCTGACCGAGGTTGCACAAGCGTGGGAGCGGACCATTCATAGGAAGCTGGGGATTTTCAATCCTACTTTCAAGTGCGTGAGAATAAAATTTTCGTTTGTTTTTTTTCTTCTTTCCGTTCTAACCTCACTATTCCCATTCATTTAGATTTACCGACCCATTTATGACCAAAACCCAGTTTTCTCCGTCCGATAAAGCCGTAGTGCTTAAACGTCAACAGAAGGCGCAAAATATCATATCGCCACACTTCCGCATCCTTCAATTCTTCGAAAGCCATTTCAATGCGACCAGACTTGGTAGCGTCCACACTCAGCGCATATTTAGCCGTCTTGTAGGAACAACCTTGGTTAGTCTACAAAATACGACCGGCCACCCACTTGCGCGCGAAATTCATTTCCACATCGTTTTATTTGGCTTGAAGGTTCTCCGATATTGTACATCTCAAACCAAGATTGCTTTATGGAAATTGAAGGATCAAATTCTCTCAGCTGCTTTGAGTTGGTTCAGCCATCCTCCTAGGTATATACTTATACATAAGATAACTTTTCTTCAGAAAATATGACTGATCATTTTTCTTTTCAAGGTGGTCGCTGGGAGGTAACCGGCTGCAGATGAAGGCCGAAGATAAGCTCCTTCAAGACATTGAGTGTATCCTAGAGAGTACGGCCCGTATAGCTTCAGGGTCATCCGGCGCAAGAAAGTCCCTCCAAACCAAGCAAGAATTAGTCAAACTCCTGATCGACAACGAGCGATTCCGACTAAGAGTATGGCTTTTCCCCCTGGAGCATGAGAGACGCCATTACACTTCAAGCTCAGGAAATAAGGTCGATCCCGAGGTCTGTTCCCACTCCATTACTCATTGAATGGCCTTTTGTTTTTCAAGACCAAGTCCCATCTAACCACGCTCTCCAGGTTATATCGCCGTTGATGCGGTTGGCATGGGCTGAGAACCACGGCTTAGCTTTGCAGCTTGCAAACCGGTTTCCTTCACCAAAGCTCAGAAGCGACGTACGCTGGCTGTTACTCAACTTTCCAGAGAAGGCCATCTGTGACCCCGATAGCTTGAATGTGCTCCTTGGCTCCGAGTTACCTCCTGACGTGTCGTTTCAACTCAAATATCTTCTCTTCTGGGCACCTGTAAACCCTATTGAAGCAGCGACATATTTCTTACCAGCCTATAGAAACCATCCTTTTATCCTGCAGTATGCCATGCGATCACTAGAGAGCCATTCTGTGGACGTGAGCTTCTTTTACATCCCGCAGCTTGTTCAAGCCCTGCGATATGATGCTTTAGGATATGTTGAGCGTTACATATTTGAGACCGCACAGCTATCTCAGCTTTTTGCCCATCAGGTTATCTGGAACATGAAAGCGAATGCGTACAAGGATGAAGATTCCCAGATTGTACGTGAACCGTTCCCATTTTTGATTGCCCAATGCCTCGAAAATAGAAGGAAATGATGCGCTAATTTTCTCAATTTTTGCGACAGCCTGATCCTATCAAGCCGGTTCTAGACCAGTTCTTAGATAAATTGATGAACCATTTCTCCGAGGAGGATCGGGCCTTCTACGAGAGGGAATTCTCTTTCTTCAACGAGATCACGGGTATCTCTGGAAAATTGCGCCCTTATATAAAACGAAGCAAACCGGAGAAGAAACAAAAAATCGAGGAGGAATTGCGCAAAATTAAAGTAGAAGTTGGAGTTTATCTTCCGAGCAATCCAGATGGTGAGGTAATCGGGATTGATCGAAAGTCTGGAAAGCCGTTACAAAGTCACGCAAAGGCTCCCTACATGGCGACGTTCCGGATCAAGAAAACCAAAAAGGTGGAGGAAAATGGCAATGGAAATCCTGCTACGATGCCAACGGTCATATCTAATGATGCACAACGCCGAGAAAGCGTCAATGACTCTGTGGTGCAGGCTGCTAATACCCAAGAATCGGAATTAACCTACGAGGTCTGGCAGTCTGCCATCTTTAAAGTAGGTGACGATTGCCGCCAGGACGTACTGGCGCTACAAATGATAGCGGCTTTTCGGAGCATTTTCATGGGCATTGGCTTGGATGTGTTTGTATACCCTTATCGCGTCACAGCCACGGCGCCAGGCTGCGGTGTAATTGATGTGCTCCCTAACTCTATTTCTCGAGATATGCTGGGTCGCGAAGCTGTCAATGGCCTGTACGATTACTTTATCTCCAAATATGGTGGTGAGCAATCTACCCGTTTCCAAGAGGCAAGAAGCAACTTCGTCAAGAGCATGGCCGCCTACTCGGTCATATCCTATCTTCTCCAATTCAAAGACCGCCATAATGGAAACATCATGATCGACGATGCTGGCCATATCATCCACATCGACTTTGGTTTCTGTTTCGACATCGCCCCAGGTGGAGTCCGATTCGAGCGCGCGCCTTTCAAACTCACATCTGAAATGGTGGCAGTGATGGGTGGGCAGAATGCCCATTCCGGCTCGGGTGGTTCATCGTCAACTGGCGGCGGCGGCGGCGGCGGTGGTGGCGGCGGGATCTCTCTTGGTAGTAGTAGCCCGACGAATTCACAGTCATACCGTTGGTTCGAGTCGCTTGTCGCCAAGGCCTTCCTTGCCTCCAGGCCATATGCAACGAAGCTATCCCATATTGTCACCCTGATGCTTGACAGCGGCCTTCCTTGCTTTAAACCTGATACGCTGAAAAACTTCAGGGACAGGTTTGTTCTGGAAAAGACTGAGCGGGAGGCTGCTGACTACATGCGGGACCTCGTGAAGAAGAGCTACATGAGCATGTCGACTAAGGGGTATGACCAGTTCCAGTTGCTGACAAACAACATCCCTTATTGAGGGAAAATCATTTGTCTCTTCTGTATTGGATGGGGTTTAACTAATGATTTCTACAATCGGCTTGTTTTCCCCCCTCCCTATTTCTTTCGTTGGTCACCGACAAAGCCTAACTAACCTACTAATTTTATTGGCCTTCGCTGCCAAAAGAATGTCAAGCCCAGTGGGGCCCACATTGTTCAGTTCATTCTGCCCTGTTTATATATATTTAACCCTTCATTTGAAGTTAACCCCAATAAATCTGTAACGTTCCCCCTTTAAGGCGTATTGCTCCTCAGGTATTTTTTTATGATACTCACTCCCAAAATCCCCACCTGATTTTATGATGGGTTCGTTTCATATACGTTGTGGTTAGATTGGATTGTTTGAATGGGGACGAGTTGAACTCCCTTTTCTTTCAAACTACGTGGCTAAAAATTTACATTCATATCTATATCATTTCCCTTTTAGTTATAAAAGATCAGACCGCAGAGAGGAGGCAAAGAGAGGGAGAATAAGAATAGAGAAAGGGCCAAAAACAAATGGAGTTTAGTATTTTCATAATATTCAAGCTGAGGATCAATTGAAAGAGAAGAAATAAGTTACATAAACCAAGCCCCTACGCCGCCATGAATCCGCTCCAGACAGAATAAGTTGTAGTTCAGTCTTGCCTTTGTCAAACAGCTCAGCACAAAAAAAGAAAACAAGGAGTCGGGAGGAAGGCGCTGAACGTGTATAAAAAAAAAAAAAAAAAAAAAAAAAAAAAAAAAAAAAAGGACTGAAAATGAAGAAAATGAGCGCAAATCAGACCTTAGTCCATAAAGTCACCCCTTAGTATCTTCTCCTGGAAATAGTCAGGTTTTGGTTTTTGCTTAGGCTTCGGCTGTTGCTGAGTGTCACGCATCTCGCGAACAGGTTGTTCCATAATTGCAATGGAAGCAGCTCGTTGGTGGTGCTTGAAATGTGGGGCAGACGAATGGTTGGGCGGTGATCCATGGAAACCCGCAGTGGGAGAGCTAGGGGGGAAGCTTCCGAACGAAGGAGCACGCCCCGCACGCGTCCGAAGTGCTTCCGGCCAATTAAAGCCTTCGCCTAGAGGGCGCCAAGAAGAGGGGTTAGAGCTATTGTTCTGGGGATTGGTTTTATGCGTACTTGCAGCAGGAGAGGATGTGCTACTCGCAGTGGACGGAGCTCGCCGTCCTGCCACTGTAGAATTTCCAGAAGGGTATCTACCGTTTGCATTTGCACTGCCTACACGGTCTCGGAATGCTTGAGCCCCAAACGAGACACGACGGGTAAATGGAGCAGTAGGCGAGGACATTGGGGTGTCATTTCCATTCTCCTCGAGCACAGAGTCTTCCCAGGTAGGCGAACCGGACATGGCAGAGCTTGAGATGCTCCCACGTCGCATGCCTGGAGCACTACCAAAAGGGGATGATTGCTGAGTAGGAGAGCCAGAGAGACCCAGCGTGGAAATGGACGTGCGGCGGCGTTGCTGTGCTTGAGCATTTGCAGACGTCATGATTGAACCGGGGATATTGATAGAGACAGCTGGCGGGTGTTGCGGAGGTGCAGCAGAGCTGCCGGGCCTTGCAAAAAGCTCTGAGAAGGAAGTCCCAGAAGCAATAGAAGCACGACGACCCCGAGGACGAGGGGAAGGAGCGGAAGGGGTGGCGGAGGCGGACGAGGTTGAATTCGAGGGGTCTTCGGACATGACAAGAAGGAATAAGAAGAGCTCAGCCAGGATGAAGATAACAATGGGCTAGATTAGACGGTCAGGCGCAGGGAAAACAAACAACAGAGCGCTCGATCGATGAATTGGGTTAAATTTATTTGGTTTTTGATTGGGGAACAGAGGAGGATGAGTAGCAGTTTGGCTGTCTCTCCTTCTTCCTTCTCCCTTTTCCGCACAGTAGAACAATGAACAAAGAGCACAGCAAGAAAGCAAACAAGTAAAGTAGAAA